GTAATATGATCTATTAGCAATTCGATTTCAATTCCCAGGGGCCTAAAATCTTTTATGCTTAAGAATTGCAAAGTGATTTCTTAGGAAATTCCGAGGTTGCGTTTTTTTTTATACACCCTGTAGTGCTCAGGCATTCAAATTATAACAATATGAGGTTTCCAGGTTTTTTGATGCACCCTGTAGAGTTGAGGACATTGTTTTTAATTTTCGACACAAGCACTGACCAAAAGCATGATCAATTATAAAAAATATTCAATGCACATACTTCAATCCCATGCATGCACCATCCTACTGACTTGTCCCTGGCTGCGTTGCATGCTTAAACAATGCCATGCATAAATTAAACTATGTTGTGTACGCACTGAGTATAGTGTAGTGTGCTTTTTGGCAGCCAAAGTACATTTAGTTAACCCATGAATAGCACGCAAAGCATCGTTCTTTTAAAACACCATGCTATATACATAGTTGGCAGTTGCCGGACTGTTCATGCCATGTCTCCGTGTCAATTACCTTATTGTCAAATCATATTCAAACAAAAGGTCTACAACCTAAACCCTGTTTAAATTATAGCAAAGTGAAACTGACGGACAATAATTGATTCGCTTTTAATGCTTGAAATGAACGACAAAAGAAAATAAGGCGAAGAGCACGAACGCATAAATTCGCTTTCGAAGCGTTATAAATTGTTTGTAATAAAAAAATCAGTATATATAGTGTAAGACCAGCCAGAAATCAACAGACCAGGTATACAATGAAATACAAAATACAACAAAAGAACTGCATCGTTACCGGCTTATATAAACTGACTAATGAGATTCCCCGTATTTATAGCATCATGCATGCAAAGCATTCTGGTCGGCTAACAGCAATGCATTCTGGTCGGTTAACAGCATTGCATTCTGGTTGGAGAAACGGAAGTAAAATCTTACTTTCAGAGCCCAATACGAATTAGAACTGCTGACTTGCTCGCTCGCTTCAGGCTCGCTCGCTGCGTCAGCAATAAAGTTAACTTTTCAATCGTTTATTTCCAGGAATTGGGCAGCCTATTGTAGACCTTATCAAGTACATGGAAAACGAGCACTTACGACATTGCTTGCCTCGGGACCTGGCTAGCGGAATCGCAGAACTTCCTGTTGAATTCATCTACCTTGATGGCAACGCCACAAATAATCGCACGACAAGACGTTTGCCCATTACGGGTGAGATCTTGGATGGCAAGAAATCATACAAGAATATTTTACCGTATTTTACGACAAGCGAAATCACGCCTGAAAGAGTCAACGAGATTGGACAGGAGCGTTTGAAAGCCCTGTATCCACAGGTATGGATATTTAAAGAGTAAACGTAATACACTAGTCAATTGAAACCCCGGACCCCCGAAAGTGTACTAATCAGGGCGCTTATATATAAAGGCCCTGGTACTAACCATACAGAGGTTTCACTTCGCGAGAATCGAGAAAAACGTAAGGTAGTTTTTACTGCGCATATCTGGCGGCCATGTTCTTAGTAAGTTCCCCAAAGAGAGGCATTTTCCCCCTGGAACATTAAATTTCAATATGTTTTCCGGGGTTGACGGCCTCTCTTTAGGGTACATGCATGGCGGACTGGAACAGTCTCTAAAGGCCGTTTTCCACTAGGCGGAATTTTGCGCGCGGAGCGGAATCTTTCTTTGTCTTTTCTAATTAGCTCCACCCGAGAAATCACAAGACAAAAAGAAAAATTCCGCTCCGCGCGCAAAATTCCGCCTAGTGGAAAACCGGCTTTACGCTGAAATTAATAATTTCTATCGCATAGCTATACACAACATTACAAAGTCGATCAGGTTCAAATACTGCATGCATATAAAATTCAGTCAAACGCATTCTAACTACGTTTGTTATGTGTATGCAAATACTAAATTCTTGTCGTAACAAACTTATTCCAAATAAGCTTTATGTGCATGGCTTTGTGTTCGGTGAGTTTCATCTTTTAACTTTCTTCATTTCTTTATAAAAATACTCTCCCTCTAACAACGTTGCGTAGTCAGTTTCGGTGCTATATTCTTGATTCTGTATTACAACACAAGAATATGATTTTTACGCTGTAGCCAAGGTCGCTGCAGTGAAAAGCATGCTCTGGGGATATGTAAATTTTGTCTGCCTCAGTTAAAGCAATGCGAAAACAAGCTTTCAACCGTATTCCGCACCCGTTACTCGTTATCGGCATCTTAAACGCTCCCTGTTATCTAGCGTAAACACCACTGCTCTCCATGCCATCCAGTAACGATTCAGTGATCGGAATGTTCTATTGCCTTTTCATTGTTTTGAAAATCTCACTGTTCTTTATGCCATCCAGTAACGATTCAGTGATTGGATGTTCCATTGCCTTTTCATTATTTTGAAAATCTCACTGTTCTCTATGCCATCCAGTAACGATTCAGTGATAGGATTTTTCCATTGTCTTTCCATTGTTTTGAAAATTCTACTGTTTTTTATGCTATTTAGTTTCTAGTTTAATTTTCAACCTAGATTATTGCGATTGCAAAGAATGTAACTGGAAAATCTAATGAGGCCGAAGCAGTGACCGCATTCCGTAAAATTCTCACAAACCAAAGCTCATTTTACAACGATGCACCGTTTCCACAAATCGAATCCAACTCCACAGCTCACAAACGTTGTACAGACTTGACAAAAGCAAGAAAATATTGCCCTGAACGGTACAAATCCTTATTAAAATGGATGTCGACGTGTAGAGAGACGATGAGTATGCTCTCTCCAAAACTTATACCATTGTTTTACCACACAGGGGATAAAATAACATTCCCCAACTGCCCTATTGAAATGCTGCCTAGTTTTAACCCGTCTTCAAGCGCGCAGTTCTTTCGGAGTACTGGAGCAGCTTGCACCAAACCAGCTCGTTTTGGTTTACCGTTCTTCCTCGAGAACCACGGACCACGCTTTTCAGAATGGTCTGTGACCGCGCACGAATCTTGGCCTGGACATCATACACAAGTTCAAGGTTGGTTCATTGTTGCGTGAATAAATTAATGCGATGGTCTGGAAGGCCGGCAAACTTCAAAGCTACAAAATAGAAGAACTTTGTTTGTTGTCAAACCGTACCCTTATACCGTGCACAAATCCTTTGTCTCAACTTCATTAAATATTATTCATCGTGGTTGTATCCCTATTGAACGATTGCTTCATTATACGACAATACAATGAACTCAATCACCGTGACCGTGCACAAATTAACATAAAATCTGACAAAAACAGAACACAATGAGTTCTTCTGTTTAGTTCCAGATCATTATATCTTGATAGACTACAGGGTGTATAAAAAAACGGAGATCTTTAGAAATCAACCTTATTGTTAAAATTTGAATGCCTTTTCAATTGCACATATATGCAGAACCGTAGTGCGTGAAATATTGATGGGTGCATATATTAGAAAAAGAAGACCTTTAGAAATTGAAATAACATTTAAACACAAGACTGTCTGCTCCTGGAACAATCTGCCATGCATACTGTACGTAGATCGCATGTTACGCACTCGTGGGCTTAGCAAAGTGCTCCAGGATTCAAATTATAACAATGATTGATTTCTAAAGGTCTCCTTTTTCTAATATATGCACTCCATCAATATTTCACGCACCATGGTTCAGCATATGTGCAATTGAAAAGGCATTCAAATTTTAACAATATGCTTGATTTCTAAAGTCTCCTTTTTTTATACATCCTGTATATATGTTCTTATGATTGTCAAATTAATCAAATTTCAAACACTCATTAATAATTCATAAGCTTATTGGCAAATCATGTCAACCATAGTATGTCACGTGCAGTGGCTTTAAACCTGATAAAACACTCCGAATTAGTATTCTTTATATAAAGAATACTAATAAGGCAGTATCTATTGTAGTCATGTCCTCATTAATATTTTTTATATAAAGAATACTAATAAGGCAGTAAATCTATTGAATTTGTAGTCGTGTTTGAAGCCGTTTAATAAACTCGCAGGTCGTGTTTTATTAGGTCTAAAGCCACTCGCGCTGTAGCCTACGTTGTAGACAGTGTGACCAGGTTTAGTACATTTTATTACCAGATCCGGTTGGATGCCCTTAGACAACCCCACCTGCTTTAAACAACTGCAACATTAAGAACAGGAGGGGGCAGCCAACCAATTTTAAGCAGCTTTAGTAAAAAAAATTGCATATATGGTCACACTGGTTGTAGACTCCAGCAGAAACACGTTTCGTGTTTCTGCTGGGGTCTACAACGTAGGCTACTCGCGCTGCGCGCTCGTGGCTTTAAACCTAATAAAACATTCTGCTCGTTTATTAAACAGTACATAAAAATCTATTTATTTTTGCTGCATTTTATTTAGCTCAAATTGAGTACTTCAAAGATAAGTACGGTGGAGTACCTAAATGGATAGACGATCTGACATCTTACACATTCTTCACAGAGGGTTGGGGTTTGTATTCTGAAAATCCGGTCATTGCTGAGGATACTGACACTTATAAAGAGCACCCCATGCAGAGATTCGGTATGCTTAAGTGGCAGGTATGAGTTCCTTTCTCGATATAATTAAACACGACTGCAGCGAACTTTTCTAGCGAGTTTTTTGTTTTAATGTATTCTTTTCTTCGTAGGTTTGGAGAGCATTGCGTTTAATTGTTGATACAGGTCTACATTATCGTGGATTGAATAGGTAGGTAATTGATGATATCATTGCAGCCTCATCGATCCAATGTTACTACACAGGAAGAAACCTAAACTAACTTTATTTATACTGAATAGCTCTATCACTTCCAAACTCTTCTTCAGTGCCGTAGCAAGCTCGATAATTGGGGGGGGGGGTGGGGGCTGATATTCATATATTTGTGTTCTGCATTATTAATTTCTTTTGAAATCGATTGTTTTTATGGTCTCTGAACACGAATATATGAATATCTGCCTCCCCCCCCAAATAGACCTTTCCCCTTTTAAGTGAAATTTTGATCTAGGCAAGTCTGGACAAAAATTTCATCACAGCTTGAAAGAGCATCGCAAAATTAGTAATATTCCGAAGTTTCGTTGCAAAATGTTGTAAAATGCGGATAATATAACCTTGCGAAGTTTGCCGTTTTTCAGTCATTTTGCATTACAAACGGAAATTGATAATCAGATAATCAACTACTGATTATCAATTCCATTTGTAATACAAAATGACTGAAAAACGGCAAACTTCGCAAGCCTATATTATCCGCATTTTACAACATTTCGCAACGAAACTTCGGAATATTACTACTTTTGTGATGCTCTTTCAAGCTGTGATAAAATTTTTGTCCAGGCTAGTCTAGATCAAAATTTCACATCGAGCTTGCTACGACACTGCTCTTCTTTCTAAAGGTAAAGTAAGGATCATCTCTTCTTATTGGTCTGTGTTACTTTAGTTGGAAACCGAAACTAAACTAAGTTATTTTTTTATATATACTGGATAGCTCTATCAGTTCTAAACTGTTCTCTCTTGAGATCTAGTAAAAGCCACCTTATTAGTGGTTCTGAGTTACTTCATTGGAAAACCTAAACTGGACTAATTTTATTTATACTGAATCGTTCATTCAGTTCTAAACTGTTCTCCGTTGAAATACAGTAAGAGTAATCTCTTATTGGTCCAGTGACTTGTATTGTATTGTATTGTATTGTATTGTATCGTGTTGTATTGTATTGTATTGCATTGTATTGTATTGCATTGCATTGTATTGTATTGTATTGCATTGCATTGCATTGCATTGCATTGCATTGCATTGCATTGCATTGCATTGCATTGCATTGCATTGCATTGCATTGCATTGCATTGCATTGCATTGCATTGCATTGCATTGCATTGCATTGTATTGTAGCTAAACCTAAATTAAACTACCTTTATTTATACTGAATAGCTCTATCCGTTCTAAGCTGTTTTCCATATAATTTGTTTCTCATTGGTCCAGTATTAGCTAAACCTAAACTACCTTTATTTATACTGAATAGCTCTATCAGTTCTAAACTGTTTTCCATATATATTTAGTTCCTTATTGGTCTAGTATTAGCTAAACCAAGCTAACTTTGTTTATACTGGGCACTTCTATCGGTCTTATCTTAACAATCATCATACCTCGCCCTTACAGGACCGAAGCATTATGGTATTTCTCGCATTATGCTTGGGATGACTCCGATTTGGCTGAAAAAGAAATCACTCGTTACCAGGGCGTTCCCGGCCAAGCCACCGCGTACATGCTAGGTCAACAAAGACTGGTGCAACTACGAGAATATGCCAAGACTCGGCTTAACAACACATTTAATATCCAAGATTTCCATTACCAAATTTTGTCTCAAGGCTCGGCGCCCGAAGAAAAGCACGTAGAAAAAAGCACGTAGAAAAGCACGTAGAAAAGTATGTGAAATGCTCTCTGGGTACACTGACAGGTCCGACATGCGATGTCATTTTGAAACCGCCCAAGAAATCCAATAGTCAGACAGTTCAGAAAGAAGGACCACCCAAGCCTCCTAAACGACATTACTATTAAACTTTTTTAGAAACTTTAGTTTTATCCAACACAAATGATTTGTGCTGTATGTATGTAAGTAGTTGATTAATAATCGTACAAATCTAAATCAGAAAAAATAATAATCGGACAATCTAACGTTTTCCGACACCTTTTTGTTCGTTACTCCGATTGAAGGCACATTCACCTTTTGAGCGATGTTGACTTGAAATAGTTCGTGAATAAATCCGAGTTCATAGATCAAACATGGCGATGAAATAGAAACTTTTGTTTTTCATTTAATGCTATTTTACCACCGATCACCGATATATTTCTCATTACGTATGTCTAGACGTAAATGCGATGATGGTGCCATCGTGCGCACGCACTGCAGTTGAACTATATAACATGTAGTCGAAATCACTGGTCGAGATTCGAAGAATTAGAATATAGAGCGTTTGCACATGACGTCACAGCCGCCATGTTGGTGTTCCAATTCAAAAGAATTTTAATTTGAAAAAAAAAAGAATAATAAAATTGAAAAAGATTTTATTACAGTTAACACCACAAAAAAGGTGTAGAAAGTGTGAGATTCAAGCATGCTGAATAGTCTCTCAATTAGTCTCTGCACGGTTGATACGCTTTATTAAAATTTGAAAATATATTCGGCCTTCAGTGTACCTTTATTTTATCTTACACAGAAGACAACATTTGCCGGTACGAAAATTATTCGATAGACAGTTTTATTTGAACAGTTCAATATTTTGGGATACTTATATTTAATAGCAGCACGTTATGATTTAACTGAAATCTATTCTGCCACAGTACCACTGATCGACCTAATCTACTAAACCCATTGACTAAACCACTTATCTACTATTAGATCAGTGCGCAGAACGCGTCACTTGGATGCACAGTGGAGACTCTCAATTTGGCTTATCTCCTTGTCTATAATGACATGGGACAAATCAAACCGATAAACTGTCGGACTGGTTTGCCTAGACGAATGCGCTATGTTCGTTTTAGCGTTACGTCATTTAATGTGAGATATTTTAGTTTGCTTTTATTTTAGTTTGATATCTACGATATCAATCTACGTCAATCATTGAGAGTCAGTATTGATGAAATCACTCAAATGTATATTGATGGTTCCATTGGCATATTGCAATCACAGTGCCTTCATTTCATAATTTCATTTAACCCTTTAACGCCTGGTGGTAACATATGTGTACAAATTTCAGAGCAAACATGACGTCAGAATTCCTAATTTCGGTGTATGTTGTTGACTTGTACTTCGTGTAATAATTATAAAGAGTATTTAAGCAATTCTTCATTGACCTAAACAAAAAATTCGACCACTCGTCAGTAGATTTAGCCGTAATATTATTTGCTGCTGCATCAATTACCCATCGTAAGTTCTTAGGATGATGTATAGCTTCAAGCAACTTACTGTAGTTTTAATGCTGTGGTTCTCGTTGCTGTAATTAATGTATAAATGCTCGTTCAAAATAACGTTATTAGCAGGATCAGTTCCAATTATTGTACGCTATGCGTTCCTATTTTTCTGTGGCAATTTCAACGACCGTAGATTAGGGGCCTTTCAGGTATGCGGGCTAAGATTGCGTGCCAGTGTACATGTAATACCCTGATTTAATTAATGACGTGTAATCTGTCACGCCAGGCTAATATTTCACTGGGTTAAAAAAGTGTTTATCCAAACATAGTAACCCGATGAAGCGAGACGCTGCCAATGTGCTCAACAGCAAATGGCTCAAAATACGGACAGTCGTTCACGAAAAACAGATCTAGTTATAACAAGCGAATATTTGCGACTTCGCTTGTATTTCGAGCAGCCTCCGTTGATAAAAGACAGGCGCTACCATGCGCGTTTGTATCAAAAATGTTTCATCGGCCGAGAGGTCGTTGACTGGCTTATTGAACATTTGGAAGCAAGCGACCGAATTATGGCAGTGAAATGCGTGAGAGCTTTGCAAGATATTGGGTTAATACATCACGGTATGAAATGCTATATTCTATATGTATACCTTGGCTTGTGGTGCATATATAACGTGCATTCGACTCAACTCAGTGAACTGTGCCCAAATTTGCACGGTTTTGCCTTCCGTGTTTAGACCTGGTTTAGACAGGACAGACGAATTTTAGCACAGGTTCCGGACGAGTTACATACAGGCCCAAATTCGTCTTTGCTCGCGTATTTTATATGCCAAGTAAGGCTAATATTAGCCAATAGACGTACACACATTTTTACACCAAATCGGTTGTTGGCATGTTTAATATGCCGGTTTTGGCCGAATTCAGAATTTATGATAACTCACATGCCTAGTTACCACTGTTCTCATAATGTAAGCAAAGAATGAAGCCAATGTTATACCATGCATTCAAAATATATGTGCGAGTAAATTGTGTAGCAAGGGGTATGGATAATAAGTCCATGGTTAGCCTACTTGGGTTATTATAGTATAGTATAATATGAATTTTATCCGTAAAAAGCCGGGTCTAGGCAATGCAGTGCAGTTCCGGTTCTGAACAATAATGCATCCGCATGTAATTTTAATAATAGACTCGGGGGATAGACAATAGACTTGTCATGCAGTTAACCCGTTTTCTAGTCGTTGCTGTCTAGTTTACTCGCAAATATAATTTAAGTTCTTGAATACCTTTGTTCCATTCCTTGCTTACATTATCAGAACAGTCAGTGGTAACTGGGTATGCGAGTTTATTAAAATGTGAATTGTATGGCAAATGCCGCAGGACATAAATTTATTAAAATACACTCTGTTTTAATATACTCTGTTGTGGCTTAGTCGGCTAGTGAAAAGGCAACAAACTAGTTCAATTATATAGTAAACTTCGTGTTCTCCTTGCAAAATTTTCAAGCACATAGTAATGCCAATATAGTTTGTGTCAATAATAGAGGATTTCAAATATTTGCGGTTGGCTTACTGTATTTTGTGCAGCAAAATGATGTGGTCAACAGAAAGCTATCCGAAAGTGAGAAAATAATGTTAGCTACATGTAGTAGTAGGCATGTATATGTGGTGATTAGAATTGATTTACTTGCTTCTTGACCGCCATTAGCTGGCTTGTAATCTTACTGAAATCAAGTTAGCGTCGCGTGCATATTGTCACGTTGTACACGAGTACAGTTCTCGTGCGGGAGATTTTACTGTAAGACATGCGATATTCTATAAATTTACTTAAAGTCCATTTTCTGGCGTTTTGCCAGTATAGAGTATCAAAGTTCGAAAATTGGCCGGTTCGTTTCCCGATTTGTTCACACAGGTAATCGTAGTCGAATTTGTCCGAGCCTTGGTTTCGATATATTAAACAGGCATTGGCTCTAAAGTAAGCCAAACCTTATACATGTAGCCACGGTTTGTGGCTATAAAATACGCTTGTTTTTGGCATAGTGGGGTATGCCTTATAGCCTCGGTTTATGGATGACAGTAAACACTTTTGTGAGAAAATCGTTCATGATAACCGCTTGTAAAGGTTTGACCGAAGTTTCCAATGGATATTTTGGCCTTTATTTGCCAATATTTCAGAATTCCGGGTGATCGATTTTTGAAAAATGGTCATGGAAAAGCCATAAAATTATTATACATGGGACGAGGTATTACGGACTCTAGCTGCATGAAGACATTTAAAAGAGATTTTCTGTTTTGTCTTTGCAAAGCCAAGAGGTGAAGAGGGCAAAGGTGTGACATGCTTATCGAATTAGATACTTCTATTGTTTGAGTTTTGATAGACAAAATATACGGACAAATGCAGGTATAAATCGTATAATGAATAGCCGAATTCATATTAGGGACGGGAAACTCGTCTGTGAAAACCCGTCTGAATATGAATTTAGGGACGGATAAATTCGAATTTAAGACGAGTTTCCCGTCTAGATGGGACCCGTCTAACTTTCCCGTCTGTTTAGACGGGTAAGTTAGACGGGAAAGTTCGGACGGGAAACTCGTCTGCCCCCGGATTCATATTAGACGAGTTTCCCGTCTAAGACGAGTTTCCCGTCCTTAATATGAATTCGGCTAATATCTTCTACTCGAAAGAATGCGGAGATAGCGGGGTAGTTGTATTGCAAAGCCAAATGATTTTTAAAATGGCCGTTATCGTAAACAAATAAAACGAATAATATGCGCGTCGGAACTGTGAAAACATTATCAACCAGAATAAAAATCAAAATCATGTAGAATAGAATTTTCAACAGCACATGCAGAGGCGCTATTTGCACAATCAAGTAATCCAATTTAATTAAGGATGTAAACGAAAGGAGATACCCAGGTCAATCTAAATTAGAAAATTATTTCATCACTTTAAGTGACAAGCTGCCAAATTACAATTAAAATAGCTACGATAAAAGAAATACAATACAAAACATGCGAGGAATCCTATTAGGTGGTATTATGCAATAAGTCATGGTTATATCACTATATTTTAAGGTAGTAATATAACTACTCAGCACAGGCATTTTCACATTGGTACTACCCACACTGGTCCAGACAGTTTTGGTACTGTGTAATACTATGATAATAACTTGCCATCTATATTGCAATAATGGCGTAAAACATGTTGGAACCTGCTCAAGAATTCTGCCCTGCATGTGACCATGATTCGCGTGGCCGCCAACGAACCTACTGTGGTATTGCTGACATGTTAGAGACGGCTCTAAATGTTTCTTTTTGAAAAAGGATACGTATTGTCTTGTAGATAGAAATTGGTCATCAGAGGTCATATGCATTAATTACTACAGACTAAAGAACAATAGAAAATACAAACTATTTATGAGGGAGTTCGTAAGCATTAAGTTCACTATAAAATTTCTGATAAAGTTTTGACTTAAAAATATCAAGGTTTATTAAATTAACTAATTATTGATTTATTAAATTAACTAATTTTGCATTGAAGCACTGAATTATAATGGTACATACAATACAATTATGCCCGCCCCCTCGTTATTTAGCATATAAAACGTTTTAAAACTTGTTACAAGAGGCGTGGGAAGCTATATCTTTCAAACTACACAAGCAAAGACATTTGCTTGATTTTTTTTTCTGCGTTGGTGTAATGTACTCAGGTGAATATGATGTTTGTGATGTTACTCTGAGTGTATATCCACACCGGACAAGCTTGAAAAATATGCCTGGCCTGGTCAAGTATAATTTAAACACCTGACAATTCGATAGGTGAATAATTTGACAGATTTAAAAATCTGTATTCATAAATATTCAGGCTTCAAAATTGGTTTATGAATAGTTTTCGGACCAGTGGCGTCCACGTCAGCTTTTGGGTGTGTTGCTCAGGAAAATAAATACTGATACTTTCCAAAAGTCAAAGTCAACCAAAATTTCATCGATTTTTTCCTGACCTACGATCATCAGTTCCATTTACTTTCATATTAATCTGTTTGATAGTTTTGTGAGTTATCTTACTGACATACAAACGCATGAACCAAACTGGAAAATATGGCACGAGAACAATGCATCTATTTTGAAAATATGGCGTGGGAATAAAGCCGAAAAATCAAAGGGAACAAGCTGGAGAACACGGCGGAATCTTTAGGGGGAACAAAGGGAAAATTCAAAAGGAACAGTCCTGCAAGGACCCTCCCTGGGAGACTCTCATGACTTCTTGGCAAGAAAATTCTCCTTCCTTTAAAACAAAATTACAACAATTCTTCATTCCTTATTAGTATGTGATGACCATGTATTTAAAGACCAGATGCTGTTCTACAGATTTCGTCGAGATGATGGTAGTGGTGGTTTTGATAAGGAAATACAACTTATATTTCAAGCCATTGACCTTTATAACAGGTAGACTCTGGAATTTTTGTATAAACAAGATGAATAAATTACAACTGTTTCATAATGTTTCTGACTGGCTCTTCTTCATCTTCCATACCATCTCAACCTTGCTTCTCTAACCTTCTCAGCAATGTCTACCAACAATGTCTCTAACCAACTCTCCTTCATCTCTTCTTATTACATGTCTATACCATCTCAACCTTCCTTCCCTGCAATGTCTACCACCCCACATCTTCTGATCTCTTCATTCATAATGTTTCTGACAAGCTCTCCTTCATCTCTTCTTATTACGAGTCCATAACATCTCGACCTTCCTTCCATCACCTTCACTGCGATGTCTACCACCCCACATCTTCTGATCTCTTCATTCCATAATGTTTCTGACCAACTCTCCTTCATCTCTTCTTATTACGTATCCATACCATCTCAACCTTTCTTTCCTCACCTTCTCTGCAATGTCTACCACAACACATTTACTTTTTATGTCTTCATTCCATAATGTCTCTGACCAGCTCTCCTTCATCTCTTCGTATTACATTTATGTCTTCATTCCATAATGTCTCTGACCAGCTCTCCTTCATCTCTTCGTATTACATGTTCATACCATCTGCTTCCTTCACCTTTTCTGCAATGTCTACCACTTCACATCATCTTTTGATCTCTTCATTCAATAATGTCTGTGACAAGGTCTTCTTTCATCTCTTCTTATTGCATCTTCATACGATCTCAACATTGTTTACCTCACCTTCTCTGCAATGCCTTTCACTCCACGTCTACTTTTGTTCTCTCCATTCCATAATGTCTCTGATCAGCTCTCCTTCATCTCTTCTTATTGCATGTTCATACCATCTCAACCTTGTTTCCCTCACCTTCCCGGCAATGCCTTCCACTTCGATCCACATCTACTTTTGTTCTCTTCATTCCATAATGTCTCTGATCAGCTCTCCTTCATCTCTTCTTATTGCATGTTCATACCATCTCAACCTTGTTTCCCTCACCTTCTCTGAATGTCTACCACTCCACGTCTTCTGGTGTCCTTATTCCTCTCATGTTGTCCTTCAGCGAAACGCAGAGAAAGATTTCTAACGTTTAGTAATTTTTTTTAAAGAATTTTAGCAGATCAAAAGAAGTTCGTAGTATTACAAGATATTCAGTACAACGATCAAGTTTTCAAAACGTGTTTCCTCGCGCGTCGCTTCGTTGACTGGTTGGTTGTAAATGCTGAGATTCAGTCACGTGATGAAGGTGTGGAAATCGGTAAAGCGTTTCTTCGGACTGGTGTTATTAAACAATGTAAGTGAGCGTTGAAAAAATATTACCCTAAATAAACTAAAAACTTGCTTATTCTGGATAGCTAGCTGATTTTATTTAGTATACTGGATCAGTTATAAAGTCTTTTCCCTGGAGGACCAGTAAGTACATATCCCTTATTGATCCAGTGTTACTGCAGGAAAAAACCTTAACAAAACTAACTTTATTTATACTGGATAGCTCTATCGGTTCTAAACTGTTTTCATTTCTAAGCAGTTTTCGTATCCCTTGTTGCTCCAGTGTTATAACAGGAAGAAACCTTAATAACTTTATTTATACTAGACAGCTCTGTAAGTTCTAAACTGTTTTCCCTAGAAATCCAGTAAGAGCAATCCCTTATTGCTCCAATGTCACTTAACTTTATTGACTTTATTTATACAGGATAGCTCTAACAGTTCTAAACTGTTCTCCCTAGATAGCTAGACATCCAGTAAGAGCTATCCCTTATTGTTCCAGTGTTGCTACAGGAGGAAACCTGAACTTAACAAATTTATTCATACTGGATAGCTGTTCTCCTTAAAAATGCAGTAAGAACAATTCTATATTAATCTTAAGTTTGTTCACAATAAATACAATAAGAAAACCGTTCCTTATTTACAAAATATACATTTACTAGTATCGCCTGGCCCCAGTTTCCAAGATGATAATCTCTACTATCAGTTTACCGTCGAAGATATGAAAAGTTGTAAACTAATGAACGTGGTCAACACAAGCGACTCTGACAACAACAACAACAACAATAACAATAACAACAACAATAAAAATAACAAACAAAGTACCGCATCAACCCAGAATGATGCAACACAGAAAAGAAACATTGTTCGATTTTATGACGATATGGCCAAGTTTCAGATAAACAAGTCAAAAGGTTTGTGTTCGATTGAAGCAAGTTTTGTTAAAATATTGTAGCCCAAACAGCTATTTTAAAAAGAGCCATAAAAACATTAGTTTTATGTGGAAGTTATTTAAGCTTACGTTTCGTTGCGTCTTGGAATATTTTAAGGTACTAACATGTGATACATAATAAACGAGAGAGCGTTTATTAAACTGGCGTATAAAATCTTAAAGATAAATTTAAGGCGATAGTTTAGGACAACGATAGGGATAACTAAATTTATATAATAGATAGTTCTATCACTGCCAAATAGTTATTCAGAAGTCCAGTAGGAGCCATTCTTCGCAACAGGAGGAAACCTAAACTACACTAACTTTATTTATACTGGGATTTCATAGCTCTATCAGTTCTAAACAATTCTCCCTAGAGGCCAAGTAAGGAGCCCTTATTCGTCCGGTGTTGCTACAAAAGAAGTACCCAGTGAAAATATGCGGTGTTTCGTGGGGTCTATATTAAGAATTTTTCAATAGTGCACACGCACACTTCAGAGAAAAGGTATGCCATTTAAGGAAATTTAGAAGTCCTCACTCATTTTCACCGGTGGTGGAAGAATTGTGACCATATTTTACGCATGTGCAGGGATCCTCCTTTTGGAAATTTGGAAATCTGAAACTAGGGCGTCAATCTATCTCGAAAAGGGCGGACTCCAAACTAGGAAGGTCCGGAGGTATCCTACCCGAAATCTTTTTCTAAATTTTGTTACACTGAAATGGCATTCCCAGCGTTGTGGAGGCACTTATAAAGTTATATTACAATGTGCATGATCTTAAATCCATGTTTAACCATGTGAGAAATCCGCTAAGAACCAACATGTCCTAGCCTGTGAACAGACGTTACTCTCGACGAAGCCTAACATGTCCTCACCCTTATTTTAATGCTAATAATCTGTTAAATTAACCATTTGCCTTATTTTGATGATAATCATCTATGTAAGGGAAACTCAGTTAAAACGCAATTATTTTTAAGTATTTACAATTTTACATAATATATTTGCTCCCAGCGACTACAAAAAGATCATACGTTGTACTTCTTCTTATTAAATGTCCTCCTTTCAATCACAATTTTTGATGAACAGCATACCATGCATTAGGTTTTTAGATAACCAAAAAACAAAATTTCATTAAACGTGTCAAAAAGTAGGGGGGATAATTAGATATTCGTCCCCCCCCACTCCAAAAACTGGGGAGACGCGTACCCCCCATCCCCCCCCCAGGATTGACGCCCATGATCTGAAATTCCGTTTCCTCCATTTTGGGGATATTTTAATAAAAATTCCAAAGGTAGCAAATCTCAATTTTGAAAAGTTTCTTATGTAACTTCTGTCTGGATATCCTCCTAATCTGCAGTATTTTATAAATCTATACGGCTTTGTATAAATATCAAGCCCCATTCAATCATTCATTTCGGCCGAACACAGCCTTCTAGCTAAGACTGTGCCGTAAAATGTGGTTTGTGCCGTAAAATGTGGTTTGTGCCTTTGTTCGCCGTTGCTATAGCACTGTCTTGTAATACGAAGTTGAAACTGAAAATTTCAATTTTTCACACTTTGACATTCAACAATTGCACATTTTTCAGTCGATACTAGACAAAATGTGCAACTGCAATACTGCACACTAGAATAGGCTCTGCTGTTTAGAATAATTCTTCAGACAAGCGATGAAATTTAAGTATACCAATCTTAATTCTTTCCCAAGAGATGAACAGACGACGTTACTCAAGTTTTGAAACACCGCCAAATACTCCACCATCACATATGGACAATAATCCAATTTCTCCCAGACCAGGTATTAAATATAAGCCATTTGTAATTCATCTACTTTTTAAACTTCAACAGTATTTCAGGTAATTCGGCGTCATCGTCAGGACTGAACTACAGTAGTTCAAGTCTTACTGAACTGATGGGATGAGATGGGACTAAGGATTGTTGGAGTTCAATGCATGAATACAAATGTACTCCTTTTTGTTCTAACTGATAGCTTCAGGTTACTAAAACCATGCTTTATGGACTCATCTTAAAGACTAAATAAACATTAAGTCTTACGTTTGTACCAGAGCTCAAGTACGTGGCAATAATCCTTGCAGTACCAGTGAAATACACACTGCTTAAAATCTTGAGTTATCACAACCTGTTTTTGCTCTATTATATATCTCTGTAGTATGATACCTATTTCAGGTATAAATAGTAAATGGTTTCTTATGACTAGTTGAGATTGAAAAAAGTATAATTCCTCAAAATATATTCTAGTCGTTCTTAGAAACGTATCAGTCGAAGAACTGGAGGACAAAAGAAATCCGTACGTCATGACAAAAATATCTGTAAGTTGCAGTTGTTTCTGGGACCTTTTCCTTCTCATATTTACTATCACTGGCCACCGTGAACGTATGCGTATTTGGCTCAGTGATATAGTCTGTATAAAACCAATCAGCCAATTTTTTGGTCGAGAGTTGCATGGGTGTTCACTGGATATTAGAGCGTTTAACCAATTGAGCACCAACGCTCTCGATGTCTGGCGATAGACAGAGTAAAATAATAATAAAGTAGGGCGTATTGTGGCACGACACATGGACAGATAGTGTGATTGATCCATTGAGTGCCAGCGCTCTCTCCTTGACGAATAAAAACGTCTGGCACTCGAAATGAGTAAAATAGTCAAGTACTGCGCATCAGGCCGCAATCCGACTTAATGGTTTAAGATCTACGACGCGCCATCGCAATAAAGAAATTCTTGATGAAAGACAAAAAATATGAATAAGTCGAATAATTTGTGGTCCCAGGATCTCCTCAACAGCGTTGTCATTCTCAGTACAAGCAAGCATTTTCACTGCTTTGGGGCAACATGAAAGCTTGTTGCGACGTTGGTGCTGTTACATAGGGTCAGCCTTTTAGCAGACACTCCATCATTTCTCCTCAACTTAGCAATTTATTTATAATGTTATTTTAAGCATTTATTGCAGCAATCATATTCCTTGGCGCTCATTCTTCAGCTAAAACTGAGACCACGTTGTCCAGTTTGCCTTGTCGTAGATTTTTTAAAACTCTCATTGATTCTCATATTTCGAGCGATAGACACAGTATGTTATTTATATTTTGATTATTTTCTGCCTTGTAGGTATTAAGAGATGCTGTCGGTTATGGATTTGTTGTTCGTGGCACTACGCCTGTATATGTTCAGACTGTTGATCCAGACGGCCCTGCCGCAGCTGCCGGTGTGAAGGTCTGTACCTTTAACCTTTGTTTTCATTTAGTCTTAATTCCTGATGTTGATGTTGTTGTTGTTGTTGTCGTTGTCGTTGTCGTTGTCGTCGTCGTCGTTGTCGTTGTCGTTGTCGTTGTTGTTGTTGTTGTTAACAGTTCTTCTTGTTGTCGTTATTGTTGACGTCGACGTATTGATTTATTCACTTATTTATTTATTATAGTAATGTAACCAATGTTGTTGTTGTTTGTCTGTTTATTTATTTATATAGATAAGACAGTATATTTACTCAGTGAATGGCAAACACGTGCTAAGATGGTCCCATCATCAAGTTGCAGAAGAAATTTTGAATTCACCAAACGTGGTTGAGCTGGTGGTTATGAATCATTTCAGAGGTTCTTAGAAAATTTCTATTTTCTGTCTTGTCTTGATTTCTGGGAAAGTATTTTAATTAATTCGCGTTTGGCTGAATTCGGAACGGTTCTCAAATTTGAATGTATACCTTTCGCTTTCACACAGAACGCAATTCCGTGTGAAAAATGAAACCGGACAAGTTTGCATACATACGATTCCGAATTTGGGACGCTGGAACAACCAGGGGATAGGGAGGGGGGGGGGAGGTGCAGATTTTCGCAAAACGGCACTTCTTTGTGAGTTTTTTTCTTCTTTCTTTTTTCTTCTTCTTTGCTTCTTCTTTGTGTGTGTCAAAAGATTGATTCTACCTGATTTGGAACTTCAATGTTAAAAATTTACCTGTTATTTTCAATGTACGCATTCATTATCATTGCATCTCCAAGTTCATAGAAAACAAATTGGCATCTGGGTGCTTCTGCAGAAACTTTTTATATTTTTGAAGCTCCAGTGACCGCATTCCTGGACGAAAATTGCTAAGGCGTCATACTGACACACCATATCTCTTGTTATTTATATTAATAGGCCACTCCCACCCCCTTGCCCCCCTTAGGAAAGTGCACTGGGGGTGGTTTCCATCTTGGTGGGGTTCAGGAATATTTAAAAATGCATCCTATTATGAAAGTAGCAAATATAAACAGTGTTGGGTGAGTGAGAGTGACACAGTGGTTTGTGACCAGGCTTTGATTTCTGCGATATTTAATTGTCTGATTATAATTTCGCCATGGTCACATGTCGTTAGAATATTGCAGTGCTGCAAGTAACTTCGTTACGGCTTGCAGTTGGGTTATCGTATTTTTTACAGTAGATGTAACTTTAAACAAGTTAACTAGTTACAAAAATCGTGAAGTAACTTTGTCACGGTATAAACTAGTTAGAATCGTCACGTGTATAACTAGTTCCTTTTTCAAGCATGTAACTGCAAGTCTGTAACTCGTTTAAAAAAATAAATAACTTTTACAGCACTGGAATCCGAATATTGCTTCCATTTTGACTCTACTTCGTCCTCGCGATTGTTCCAGCTTAGCTCTAAAAAGATTTATTTACTGGATGCTAGGGAGAACAGTTTAGAACTGATAGAGCTATCCATGTTGTATAAATAAAGCTAGTATAGTACAGTAAGATTTCTTGTACATTTAGAGTTTCAGAAAGCTTGATAAAATTTGTATATAATCCATCAAGATTCATATTGATTACATGACTGAAATATCATTTATGTGCCATTTTGAATGTAGAGTGATTGACAATGTTGTATATATTTTGAACAAAATCCGTATGTAATTAAAATTTTGGTACTTTAAATTAAAAAGTATTTTGTAAATAGAATGAATGTTTGGGGACTTTAGAAAGGATGGTGTTTATTAGTGAGGGACATTTACTAGATTATAAATCACAGAATAAATTATGCCATATCATATGTATATAACAAAATATCAAATATACTTTTATTAGAATTTATATTGCTAATGTACATTAGAAAAACTATGCAAAGTTATAGTTCTGAAAAGCTAACATGTAAAAATTATGCAGAAAGAGATATAAACTTTAACTCATTATAAAACAGTATGTTCTTAATCTCCAAGGAACGATTTCACATCGTTGTATCCATTTTGTCGGGCTATGCCGATCAATTGACCGGTGCACCTTCGACCTCGCTTCTTCATACAAAAACTACAGTTACATATATTCCGGCAGGGTGGGCAAAACCAATCCGGATCCATTATGGCTTCTTTGACACTTTCACCATACCGGTTTCTCAGGCACGGGCCACAGAACTGGCCTCTGATACCAACACAGTTTTCGTTGCGGCAAACAGTTTTTAGGTCTTCTGTTTTTTGACGACATTGGTGACAAGATGTCCCGTTGATCGGGTCGTAGCGTTTCTCAGAAACAGTCTCGGCAACCAATAACAGGTCTTCTTCGGTAAAGTCGGATATGGGTCTTACGACATGTTGTATACTTCTGGGACGACTTCCAGAGCGACGGTAGCCCAATTCTTCACTGAGTTCACCATCACCAGTGCTGTTGTCTATGCAGAAAAAAACATGAAATAGATTTAGTCAAGAGTCATTCAAGTTATAACAACTCTACTTAATAATCACAAACGAATCACAAACAAATTCAGAACATTTAAAATATACGAAGATATAAAATTTCCATTACAAAATACTGGTCAGAATTTTTCTGGGGCCCATATCTCCAGGGCCAACACCGCGCCCCCCCCCCCCCAATACTTTCTGCTTGATGATTAAAATTGCCTGGCATTAGACAGAGTAAAATAACAAGGTAAGACCGAGACATTATTGAATATTTACCCGAGATTCTCCTTTTCTTAGTCAATGGACCAACCCAATGCACAATCAATCTATTTTTAGACGTGATCTCATCATCAGAGGCTTCGCTGCAGCTTTCCACATCTCTGCTATAATAAGACCTAGCGCTGCGTTTAGGATTTCGCCGTAATGGAGTGAAAACTTCCTTTTTCCTGGCCACATAGGGCGAACAAGACCTCGCACGAGCACGTGGCGTACACTTTTTTGCAGGGAAATGTTCGGTTAAAGTTTCGCCAAAAATCTTTCGCATTATTTCGTTATTCTCTTTAATTCGTTGATTCCTTTGAAGTTCATATTCAGATTCGTGTACTTCGAATATTCCTGCAGCCATGGTTTGCAAAAACTAGAGAAAATCCGGTTTAAAATCGTTGAACTATTAAAATGTACTTTTTGCACTTTATTTAAATACACGTGCATTCACGGGATGTGCTTCCAATTTCTGCTCAAAATTTCCTTTTGGAACAGCTACTGTTCAGCTACTGAAACTACTGGTAAATCAAATGTTCCTGAATTACGTAATATTGAACAACAAATTCTCTTCATAAAATTATAAATAATTTACACGTGTTTAGTTAGGCCGAGAAAATCAAAACAAAAAATTGTGTAAATTAATTAACATGATATTTTAAGTGATTTAATAATAAATATAAGGAAGGAAATTTCGGGAAAACTGAGGAATTTCAGAAATCGTACCAAGGAAGTCTCCAAGCGAAGCATTTTCAAAATTCAAAATGGCCGTAGATTATGCTTCTGGTTTGACAGACTATCCTCATAAAGGCAAGTGTGGAGCGCCCGAGGTTTGTTATTTTGCGTTGTTTTTGATTAATTTAGTTGTACAAATATATTCTGTTTAGTTTTACTGTTGGGCAAGCTGTACAATAGGTTATTATCAAGTTATAATTGTATATTTTACTGTGGTGTGCTAGTATATTTTATGAATGGTCATTATGGTCTGACACAGGGGCGGATCCAGGATTTTTCGTACGTTAGTCAAAGTTTTCAGATGTACAATCTAGTTTTGCGAGCGGTGGATGCGCGAGGCACCTAGGGGGGTCTGTCCCCCAGGGTGTCTGTCCCCAGGAAATTTTTTATATTTAAACCTCAGAAACGCCATTTGCAGCACTCTGAAAGCAGCTTCAACAAAAAATTAACCTCATGAATTGGGAGATAATTATAGCAATTATCAGAGTCACTGACTCTCACAACTCGCTCCTTAGGGAAATTTAAAAGAGAAGTACTTGCAGAAATGTGATAAGTGTGGAAGATGTTTCATTTTATCAAATTACGGATTGCTAGTATTATGTTTAACTAACTCATGATGGTATTACACTCATTTATGTTGCCTAATAGCCTTGTTGAGTCATTGATCACTTGACTAGTAATCACTACAGTGTCATATTACTCAAATAAACGTATATCAATATTAAAGTTCGAACATTCATCAATAAAACCTGACCTTTAGATCTTATGTATGCTGCATTAATGCATTTATATCGGTTATCCTCAATAGCCTCCTGAGTTCTGATGGTCCTTCAACCGCACAAATATGCAAATTTGTTGTGTAAATCAAAATTCATGGCTAAATCAAAATACGCGTATTTACATATGCGTGGCGTGCATCTTGTTCGCTTATAAATATTGTTATGCTATCTAAAACGAAATAAAATTTACATATCACATTAAATTTACCTTATTGCACTTCAGAATAAAGATCTCGGCGCCAATACTTCTGCTCAAACAGTCAAACTGTAGTTCGTGCTACTCATAGCGCCTAGCAACTGCTCACTTAATCGAACTCTCCGATATTTAGCGTCGATTTTCCTCCCAAGATCAGCGCAACAGTCTTGTAAGACAGCTAAATCATTCACCGCAAATGCGGATTCAACCGTTTCATGAATACTAGAAGGATGGGAGCAGCAGACATTTCTGAATTTTCCGTAGATATATATCTTTAAATTGAATCTTTCGACAAAGCTCCAACATGACACTTCGAATGAGCGCACGCTCGGAAAGACTTTACCACGCGTGAAATATAATATTAATGATATTCAGACTAATGGGGCGCCCCTGACTTTTGTAAATCGGTCAGAACTCCCCACAGATCAGTCAAATTTGAAAAAAATCGCTTGTTTCCATGGAAATAAGCGTCTAGACCAATCAGAACACTGGATTTTGACTTTTTGACTGACCGACTTTGCGTATGTCAGCTGCTCATTGACTTGACTAAGCTCGTCGGCTCAACCACTGTATGAAATTTGATCACTGGACTACAGTTCAATTGGAATGTTAATTGCTAGCGCTGCATGATAATAGATACTGGACTATTATAAAGTGCCACTGCATGATAAAAAATAACTGGACTATTGGTCGAATATTTAATGCTTTAATCAGACTTTAATTAAGTTTGTAATTTTTACGTTAGTCGCGTGACTGGTTTGACGACCCCTAGATCCGCCCCTGGTCTGACAAATATTTTATCAAATATTTTATTAATTTAAAATACATGTATATTTTGGCCTTCATTTTCTGAAGTTTAAATTTGTATCCATTTTCAGTGCTTAAGAGTTTTAAAAACTTTGTGGTGTTTATGTTCATTAGTATTTACTTTAATAGGTTTTGTTTGTGGAAACACCACGTAAATTTATTACTGCAAAGCTTTCGATCCGTAAGCCCGGATCTTCATCAGTGCTAATAATATGTGACTTGTTTAATTCACTAATTAATAATAATTCGTGAATTAAACAAGTCACATATTATTAGCACTGATGAAGATCCGGGCTTTGTAACGGATCGAAAGCTTTGCAGTAATAAATTTACGTGGTGTTTCCACAAACAAAACCTATTATATTTTATCACCATGCAAACATACAAAGAACTTAGTATTTACTTTCCTATTACAGTTAATAATTTCACGAAACTTTGGCTACAATAGTACAAAATTGATAAATTATTCGTATTTCGCAGTAAAGTTGGCGAATTAGTTGTCAATTTGTTGGCAATTTCCAACATGATAACTTTTTCTTACATGTCAGCCATGTTGGATAGAAAGTGAGGACAGTTGCTCATAAATAATGCAAAATGGCACAGCGGCATGAAAATTTACAAGAATGTTTGGATGCAAAATGGCATATACACACCTGCCATTTCATGCTCTGCCATTTTTATTTCACTTTCATTCCAACATGGCGGACATGTGAGAAAGGTTTAGTTATTATGAATTAGGTCCTTGTAATTTTAGGCAGCAACAGCTATTGCTGATAATTCAATTACACAATTTGCATTAATACAATTCTCATTTTGGAGAAAAAATGCTGCCAGATTGTAGAATATTGATTGCAATGTTTTTGTCTATGATGATTTTCTAAAATTGTGTCGACTGGAATTTCACAATCAAATTCTGGAAGCAAACCCTTCTGAGTGGCTAAACACAGTCCTTGTAATTTTGATAAATCTTCGGGGGCAAAAAATTGTCGCCGATATTTCAAAGTTCTGTGCCAGTTTGGCGGCACTATAAATTGACACTTTGACAGAAAACAGAATTATTTTATATTTAGTATTCTCTTGACTCTACTAATTAAAAGTGTTTGATATTCAAGGAAACCTTGTTTCACACACAATAACAAATGTTGAGACCAGCTATCAATTGTTTAGTTTTAACTTTGTTACACTACGGACGTTCTAAAATTGTATGATTGTATATTTGAACTTGAAGTTACATGAAGTATATCAGAACTTTTGATGTATTTTAAAATAAGCCACAAAAATAAAAGTGTTCACAAAAGAATAGCTCACTTTCTTGAATTATTTTCTAATCATATGTTCATACTTGGAAAAATTAATCGAATTGAGAAGGCAGTGGAGCATCGTCAATGACACAAAAATTTGTTGGTGGCAAAAAATTGCTGCCGATAATTTAATCTTTGGCAGCATTATCTGCGGCAATTGCTTTTTGCCGCCGAAAATTGCGAGGACTGTAAACAGCCACTACTAGCCTCTGACTAGCCACCTAGTGGCCAATCATATGCTTTGTTTACAAGCCTGCTTGTGAATTTCATAAAACATACTTGACCTAACCAACTTCTCAACCAACTTGCCTGCAACTTTGCAATGAATTTGAAATTACCAAGCAAACTTTAGTTTATCTATGAACCATTTCTTATACACAAAAGTATCGTTTGTCAGGCCACAAATCAATATTTCAAATTTTCCTTAAGCTTTTCGACCAAGAAGATGAACTCGAACGAAAAATAATAGAATTATCAAAGTTAATCAAAGAATCAAAACATTTGGTGTTTCACACGGGAGCTGGAATAAGCACATCCTGTGGTATTCCTGATTTCCGAGGGCCCAAAGGTGTCTGGACACTAGAGGCAAAGGGAGAAAAACCAACGTTTGATGTCACTTTCAAGAGTGCCAAGCCAAGTTCGACGCATATGGCAATTGTCCAGCTTGAAAGAGAAGGATATTTAAAGTTTGTTGTCAGTCAGAATGTTGATGGTTTGCATTTGAAATCTGGTTTTCCAAGGTATAGATCCAGTAGTTGAAATTCAAACCATTATACTTTAATGCACCCAAGCTAAAACTTTATGTCTCTAATATAACTTGCCTTACCTTTAATACCTCCTTTCCATTACATTACCGGTACATTACTCTAAAGCCCCGGTCAAATGAGGATGAGAGTTGATGAGTGTCGGCAGGCACAAATTCACTGTGCAAATTCCTTACTTTTCAAGAAATTACTTCCTTGCAAATTCCTTCGTTCTAAACAAAGACGAAGGACTTTGTGAAAGTCTAACCACATCCTATCATTCCTACACCATACTATTCTTTACCATACCATACCATACCATACCATCTCATTCCTTATCACATAATACTATACCAAACCATTCTTTACCATACTATACCTTACACATACCCTATCCTAACATTCCTACACCATTCTATTCTTCACCATACCATTCCTTACCACACCATGTCATTCCTTACCACCATACTACACCATACTACACCATACTATTCCTTACCATACCATGGCATATTATATAATAACGTTAAGAATTCAAGTGCTTTCATTGGTCGAGAGCCATGATCTATTAGAGGACAGACGCACAGAATTACGTCACACTTGACGTAATTTAAGGTAGCCAATAGCATTCCCTTTATATTTGTATAGATCGTGTATGTGTGATATTTGTAAAATTTCGACTTTTTCCAATTTCCAAATGTTTGGGTGGATAAAAGCTATTTACCTGTTTAATTCAGGGGGTTTCTTATATGGGCAAAATCTTATTTATTTGTTAACGATACCATACCATACAATTCCTTACACATACCACATCCTACCATTCGTACACCATACTGTACTATCCTTACCATACCATACAATTCCTTACCACACCATACCATTCCTTACCATACCATATACCATACCATATACCATATCATTCCTTACCATATTATACCATTCCTTACCATTAGGGTGAGGCGGTTTCTACAAAAAAACGAAAACCGAAAACCGACCAAAAAAACCCGAAAAAACCGAGTGAACCGGTTTTTTAAAAAAATACGTTCGAAAATCGAAACTAAGGTAAAAAAGACACAACACGCTACTCAGTACTCACGCAAGACTTCGGTTTAAAAAACAATTATATTAACCCTTGCTACGAAGTATAAAAGGAACATGCAGTGAACAAGATATAATTTTTACAATAAACTATGTACAAATATTGAAATATTGCGTAAACCACTATAAGTTCTCCGCCAGGAACACAAGTTTGTCAACTTTCTCCGGTGCTCGTGCCGGCGTGCTAACTTGCCCCGCTTTACTGAAAAGTCTCTCCGACGGCGAACTGCTTGCTTGGATGGCAAGATACCTTCTCGATAACTGGCAGAGCAACGGTAGTTCCTTTGCATTTAATTTCCACCATTGAAGTGGATCGTCATCTCCGCGTCTATCACTGGGAATGCCGAGATATAGCGGTCAATCTCTTTGGATAGACGGCTACGCGGGGATGCAGCGGGCGACGACGATGTTTTCTCAGATTTCTTGAGGCTCGTCAACGCTCCAAGACTGAGTTTGGCTTTCTTTGCAACAGGCACGGGCAGGACATCTTCATCTTCAACGGGTAACTCCAGAAAGTAGTAAAATACCGATTTTTCTTCGTTTTTTTTCGTTTCTTCCCGGTTTTTTCGGTTTTTCCGGTTTTTCTCCAAAAGTAACATCGACTAATTCGGTTTTAAAAAAAAATAGTTTTTTTCTGGTTTACCGAAAAACCGCATCACCCTAATTAAACTAGATTTGAGGATAAGCATTTTTTTAATGCAATGGATATATTCAGCAGACACCAGATCCCAATGTTATGGCTATTAACCCATTAAGTTGCATTAATTGTACCCTACTTTATTATTTTACTCTGTCTAACACAGGGCAATTTTCAACCGGTTAATCTAACACAACATTGTGGATGTGTACATATAACATTCACATTTCAGACAATAAATTTTTGTGGACCTTTCCTGCACCTGATGCTCCCTAATTCTGGCCATAACCCTAACCAGTCCTTATTCTAACTGTTCTGGCTATTTGCTCACAAGAAGAGAAACACCGACATACACACCCGAAAACCCCGCTCCCAGATTCAAACCCAAAGAATGCATACAAGGCAAGTGCCTTTACCACTCAACTGCCAAGCATTTGCTTGAAATCGACTAAAATTTATTTGGTATCATTTTAAACAGTGGTTAAAAAAACCACTGTGTTTTTTGAAAAACACAGGAAAGTTTGCTTTGATTTTTTTTAACAGACTTTTGGACAACTTCCCTGAATATAGATAGAGTAAAAGAACAAATTTGTGCAAATTGTGGCATAATGATTACCAAGAAATGAGCAGATTGGTTGATGGCAAACAATTTTCCCATTTATTGATGAGCACATCGGACAATAAGGCAAATTGCCAGCACTCTCCTCTTGACAAATAAAATTGTCTGGTGTTAGATGGAGTAGGTTGCAGAGTAGGGTGCAATGCAACTTATTCAGTTTAATTTGTAACCCATGTCAACAATAGCAGAGACCAATGTTTTTGACTTATGTTTAATTTAAGATTCCACTGTTTGGTATCATGTCATCCGACTCAGCTGATCCATTTTACTGGATACGTGTCATTTTGGCTTCTAACAGAGGTAGGCTAATTTGGGTAAAATTACTTAATAAGCATGATAGTATTTTAATAGATCTATCCTTTTCACTTGAATTTATAAACATTGGTTTTATGAATCTTAAAATATTACTAAGGCCAAGGAAAAAATACCTGGGTTTCCACTGAAATCATCAGCCCTAATTTTTTTCTGAAGTTTGTAAAGAGCTTGGAACAATTTTTCGTACCCAGTCTGTGTCATTAGTTTGTACTAGCTGTATAAAGTATAACTTGTTTGATAACATCTAACAAATGTTTTTGCCATCTGTGCTGCCGTAATTGACTACAATTCTCATGCATGAGCATTTATAAAAAAAATTACAAAAAGAAAAGATAGCCTGACCTAGCCTACCTATGTTTTTGCAACAAGAAATAGGAGTCCAGGTATTTCTTTTTTTGGCCTAATTTAAAGTGGAAGTCAAGTCCGTTCTGCGCATCGGTTCTGCTCATAACAATGTGAGGACCTCTAATGTGAAAATTGCCCAAATTTCGAATGTTTCGAATTTTTCTGAACATAAACTCTATTTCATATTCATTTAGAAGCATAGCGGACCAAAATAGTGTTAGATATTCAGACAGTACATCATATTTTAAAAAATACAGCAGTTCAAAATGTAAACAAACCGTTTGTTTACATTACAGACTTGACTTCCACTTTAATGAATTTTAATGTGAACTAGAATTGTGTTAAAATTCCATTACCAGTAGATATTTTTTTAAGAAGACAAAAAGTAATCAGTGATATCCCATTTGTCTTTAGGAACATTGATGGAGCTGGGTATATCTCCTATTGTGACTTCAGGTTTAATTATGCAGGTAAAATAAATGTAATTTTGGCTGATATGTACAGTATCAACCCTTGAAATTCAACTATTTTTGCCTCGGCAAATAATTGCCGAAGACTTTCGATAATTTTTGAGTTTGCCACGGCAGTGCCTCAGCAATTTTTTTTGCCGAGGCACGCAATGAAATCACCTTAAATTCCTTCGGCAATTACTTCGACACCCTTCGGCATTCACGTCGGCAGTTGTAATTAAAGTAAAGTACATATACGGAAATTATTGTAAACAAATATTATAACGAGCGTAGATTCTGAGACTTCTGACGTTCGACAATTTGTTGTTATTTTACAAATTCCTGATTCAAAATGTTTTTTAAAAAGTTAGTGGTAATTTACAACCAATTGTATGAAAGAATAAACTTGACGGTAAAATCACGCGACAGTCTAAAAGATAAAACAAAGTTTCTCGACGTACCATCTTTAATTAAACCATCAAGATTGTTCTTTATTTCAACCGAAGCCGACGCTGAAAAGCTCAAATTTAAATATTTTGTAAAGTAGCTATGAAATCTTCTGTTGTTCACCCGACGTCGATGACAACAATTCGAACAAAGAAGTGATACCAGGCCTTAAAATATCTTTTACGGGGCCGTCTGACAAAATGTCCGGTGACGTTGAGTTTGGGTCGGACATATGTCCGATGACCTTCAGTTCAGTTTTGACTCGGAAATAAGTCTGAATGACACAAATGAATAAACGGTAAATGTTGTAAAGATATTAAATAATTTGTTTCTTTCATACTTATGTCCAAGCCAAAATTAGCTTGCTTTCCAGAACAGCAGTATTAATAGAGCCTTCGACAACTTAAGCCCGTTTTCCACTTCACCATTTCACTCGCCGCCCCGTGCTCGACTACGTTAAAACAACATTTCCAGTTCACTTTTTATACAATAGTACTATGATTTTATACAAGCCTCTAGTCCTGGGCTAGGATACATTTTGATTTACGTCGGACAAAGCTACAGTTCGGTCTGACACCAATACACTCAGGTCGGACAAACAATAAACCTCAGTTTCACTTTGGTCGGACAGAATGTCCGGTGGTTTCCTCTCTACGTCGGACAATTTCACGAATGAGTCGGACAATGTCCGTGACCGACCGATATTTTAAGGCCTGGATACAAAAAACGAACACTGTAGTTTGTATATTTAAGAAAAAAAAAACGAACAGACACTGTAGTTTGTAATTTAAGGAACAGCGGGTGGAATTGCCTCGGCATTTTTTTGCCAAGGCAAACTATGAAAAATCGTAACTTGCCTCGGCATTTGCGTCGCCAATTGCCGAATGCCGAGGCGAATTTCGAGGGTTGAGTATTGAAAAAAATACTGAAATTGACATCAAACTATAATACTGACAATATCAATATGCAACAACAGCCTATTTGTAATTGTTGTAGATTATAAAAAAAATTCTTAAATTAATGTTCCAAAATTAATTAATTTTAAATGTTTTCATAGCTTTTGGCAGGAGCTAAGATTATCGAGGTTGGTGACTCTGTGAAGGATCGTGCTCTGTTTAATGGAGCTCAAAAATGTAAGTATACTGTAGTCAAGAATAATTCAGCCTCAAGTCAGGAAATAAACCCAATATGAATATTATTCAAAAGCAAAAGCACTCTTTTAATACCCATTCATTGGACAGAGTAAAATATTCTATTTATTTGTAGTTTAGTGTTGAATAAGCTGTACTACACCTTGTCAGTATGGGCAAGCACCACTGCCAATAACATTTGCAGATTCCATACTATCCTGTTTGACAATTATGAATTCAAGAACATTTGACCATCTATTACTTTGAGTCTGAATGAACTGTACTGGATTCCTGTCAAACTTCACTTACTCTGTAGTATTGTGACCAGACTATTCATCAAAGCAATTCACGAGGAGAGCCAACATTTAAGTTGCACTAGTAACTCAAACATCCCTTTCTTCAAGAGTGCAACTGACCAGTGGACATTTTATTACCACACAGTCAATTAATTTTTTTATATACAAGTTACATAAATATCTATTAGAGAGACATTTTACTATTTAAATTTTCAAATTGTTAAACATATATATCCTTTACATAGTTTTTATTTTAGTTAGAATTTTATATATTTTCATTAGTATAGTTTACTGTACACTACTTTTTTAAAGAAAGCCCCTTTGGAGAGAGTTAAATAAAATATTGTTTTGTTAAGTAGAGTGCATTGCCACGTGACGGCTTAACACATTATACATGCAGGCCGAAATGCTTAGGCCTCGAATTTCCCTGAAATCAATCGACGGCAATGGTGTTAAAAATTGCTGTAGAACGTAACAGCTGTCTACGGCAATTTTGGGCAGTTTTCACAGCATTTTTCAAATTACTGTAACAAAACTTTAATTTCATTGTTACTTTGGATTTTTGACAAGCTAGAAACATGTCTACCGGGTGTCCCAAAAAAAAGTACTCCGGTTTGATTCGTAATAACTTCTAAACAATTAAAGCTTTTAAAGAGAAATAACTTGCATCAAATAGAAGAAGGACTAACTTAGATTTTGATATATTAGAGTTGCATTTCACTTAAAAATTCACGGAGATATTAATTTTTAAAATCGGGAGCATATTTCTGGATGTGTCTGAAATATGCAAAAAACGGCGTATCAAATATTAATCAACATTTGCCCGACTGAAACATGCACTATTACCAGTAAATAAATGACATTTGACAAATTGTTTATTATGAAACAAAGTATTATTATCTACAAAATACAAGCAAGATTTATTTGTCCGAAATAACGTGTGCATGTGTTCCTAGCACGAATACGTTTCCTTATTTCATGAGACCACTGCATCGCAAAGGATCGTCATGCATGAATATCCGCGTTCGTAGTTCTGAATTAGGGCATGCTGTCACAATAGAATTGTGAAGCTCTTCTAACTTCTTCGAAGTTCTGAAATCTTGTTAAGAAAGCTCAAACTCTTTTGCCTTTTCTTAATCTTGTTTATCTTGTTAAGTTCAGAATAAACTGAGAATGAAACACAATCAAACCATACAACTCCATATAAGTAACAAGCAACTCCCCAGAGACATCCAACATTTTTGGAACGAAACGTAACAAAATAGTAGCGTCGATACTGTGATGTGTATTTGCAAAAAGCAATATTATTTCCTTCATAATAAGAATATTCATCCTGCTCTAACCGAGAAATAATCAACTCTGTTTTTAACCCATGAAAAACATAAAAAATTAGGCTATTTAATTTAAGAAAAATTTAAGCGCCTGCCTTAGTGGTCTTTCATGTATACCTTTAAGTTTGTAGGCTAAAGACCTATTAAATACTTGCATAATTTCGAACATTAATATTTCAGGAAACAATGACATGAGCTAAGACTTACATGCATGTTAAGATGTCTAAATCTACGCCATATCCCTTGTACAAATCCTAACGACAATTCGTTGAAATACAAGTTAGCCTGATATGTCATTAAACAAACAAACGCTGGAGTTATATTTGATATGCCGATTTTTGCTAATTTTAGACACATCCCAAAATATGCTCCCGATTTTGAACATTAATATCTCGGTGAATTTTTAAGTAAAATACAACTGTAATATATCAAAATCTAAGTTAGTCCTTCCTCTATTTGATGCAAGTTATTTCTCTTTAAAAGCTTTACTTGTTTAGAAGTTATTACGAATCGAACAGGAGTACTTTTTTTTGGGACACCCGGTATGTATTTCTTTAGTGTTTTTTTTTCAAAGAAAACTGAGACTAAAATTGCACTATATGGCAAAAAATTGTCGTCGTTGCCGCAATGATCCACAGCATTTTGTTCTCCCTCTACGGCAATTGCCGCGATAAAATTCGAGCCCTGCTCTGTCTATTTTACTCATCAAGGAAAAGTGCTTCCACTCAATGGGTTAATTAAAAAATTTCACAACAGCGTTACAGCCTAAAATGTCCATGGATTTATGACTGAACATTTTCTTACCTAAATTTTATATTATATTTTAGTATTTGGTATGATTATAACTGTTGGCCAATCAGTCGTGTATGTTATGACTGGCATGTATGGCGATCCCTCCGAACTTGGCTCTGGTATTTGTCTCATCATTATCATCCAGGTATTAAAAGCTTCAAGATTGCATTCTGAAGAAAATATACAAAATCAAATAGATTATTGCATTTGCCCTTCAGTCTGTCCTGTGAGCTAGCATGAAGTTCAAACAATTGGTTATCTATACTATTCATAAAGTGATCATCAATATTTTGCTGTTATTTGCTATTATAATGATGTGTTTTAGTAAGGTTGCATATTCTTTCCTATTTTACAAATTTCTTAATGAATTGTTATACACAGTGTAATGTAAATCATATATTTGCTTCTTAATAGCTGTTCTGTGCTGGGCTTATTGTGTTATTACTTGACGAGTTATTACAGAAAGGATATGGTCTAGGATCTGGGTAAGTGCATTGTATTTAGGGTGCGGTGGTTTAGTGGTTAATCAATAAACGGGAAAAAACCCCTGGTGTTTTTTAAAAACTGATAACTGAAGAATCAGAAGATGAAAAACTGCCATATGTACAGTATTTAAAAAATGGATCTAGCATGTGACAGTACACTATTTAGTTCAGCATTCCATTGCAGTTTCACATGTGTAATCATTATGGTGCCTTTACAGTTTGGACAAGGTTTGGTTAAAAGTCTATATATACTTGATTCTACTGTACTTCCAAATGTCAATGCAAGTAGCGATTTTATTTTGAAGTGAAGTGAGGGATGTACTTCCACTAAGTTATTTTGGAATAGAACTCTAAAGGAATGCCCCATCATGATCATCATACATGAAATTATTTCATATTGTTAGTACGCAATAAAAAAGATTAAGCAGATCAAACGAAAGAATTTCGAGTAGCATCATGTATGTTTTCAAATATAGTTTAAAACATGTTTTTGAGAACCGAATCACTGTTTCATCGGCCGTTTTTCTCCTTTTGGTTTTGTATATAAGATAATTGTATGTGCGTGTTTCTAAATGACGACATGCCAATTAAATGGTACTCTTCTAAATAGAGTTACGGTACTGTTTTCTTTGCAGCATCTCCTTGTTTATTGCCACGAACATTTGTGAAACAATTGTGTGGAAAGCATTCAGTCCAGCCACTGTCAACACTGGAAGAGGTAAGGCTTGGTGAAATATAGTGATTCATAAAATATAATACTTCCATTAACATAATCTAACATAATTAGCACTTAATCTTTCCAGGTACTGAATTTGAAGGTGCCGTCATTGCTTTGTTCCATTTACTGGCAACAAGAACAGACAAAGTTCGTGGATTACGTGAAGCGTTTTACCGCCAGAACCTGCCAAACCTCATGAACCTCATGGCAACAGTTTTCGTCTTCGCTGTCGTAATCTATTTCCAGGTATGCTCTTTCACACAGCTTTGGTCACTGGTCTGTACACTCTGGTCATCATTGGCTATATAACCGTGCAATTGAGGGACACATAGGACGCGCACTATACATATAATCTTATTGTAGTGATCATTTTATTTAGGGCTTCCGTGTTGACTTACCAATCAAGTCTGCTCGCTACCGTGGTCAATACAGTTCCTATCCTATCAAGCTTTTCTACACCTCAAATATTCCTATAATTCTTCAGGTAAGACATGTGATGATGTGTTTTAATGTTTTGAGTCTTTTGACGGATAATGGGAACCGTATGGTGTTACTGTAAAATTGTTTTAAATACCCCCAAGATCTAAAATTCTAGCTAAGACCCTGCGGCTGAAAGCCATTTATAGTTTAATTTTATAGGTTTAATAAAGATGCATTGACAATTACTTCGTAATTCATATGTAGCCGTAGTGTATTGTGTAAGATCCTAAGAGAGAGCCTATTGTGTAAGAAAGACTTTGCAGCCTGGTAATTGTTTTGTTCTTTTTTCTATAGAGTGCTTTGGTATCCAATATCTATTTTATCTCTCAAATGTTGTCCGTAAAGTTTGGTGGACATTTCTTTGTTAATTTGCTTGGAACTTGGGAGGTACTTTATTTTGTGGTATCATAACGTATAAGATTCAATGCAGTGACTAGCGCAATGGAGATAGTTAATACAGTGTTAATAGTCAAATAGGGCAGTTTAGTAGGGCAAATAGATATATGATTGCATGAAGAAAATTAACATTCATTTATTTCTTTCATCGCTGAGTGGGACCACTTTGGGCAATTCATTTGATTTATTTCTTTCATCGCTGAGTGGGACCACTTTGGGCAATTCATTTGACCTACCCAAAAGAAAATAGTTTATCAGGCCATATTTTTTCTATTTGAAGTCCTGAAAACCTACCTGTAGATCAGTAGATGGTTCCACAGTAATTCTAACATTTGTTTTACTGTGACCTTTCCAGGAAGCCTCGGGTGGACCTGCTCGGTCATATCCGACAGGTGGTATGTGTTATTACATGTCACCTCCAGAAACATTATCCCATGTAATTCAAGATCCTGTTCATGCTGTGGTTTATATCATCTTTATGTTGGGCACCTGTGCCTTCTTCTCGAAAACGTGGATCGATGTGTCAGGCTCGTCTGCTAAAGACGTTGCCAAACAACTGAAAGAACAGCAAATGGTTATGCGCGGTCATCGAGACAAGTCTATGATTCACGAGTTAAACAGGTGTGACTTTGTTTGAGCGTTGTTTATGTTCGCATTATTTTGTACATTTTATTCCATCTTGTGTGACCATTATTCCAGGATCGTTCACCTTATATCATAGTAACCGATTTTACATTCTCATTCTTGTCGCAGGTATATTCCAACTGCCGCAGCTTTTGGTGGTCTGTGTATTGGTGCACTTTCTGTACTTGCTGATTTCTTAGGTAAGAGGGTTTGGTAATAGTTTACTAAAATATCTTGAGGGTTGGCAGCTGTGTGTGCCATTTTACATTTTCTAATTTCCAGGGCAGTCACCTGCAGCACAGTGATGATATTTTGTAAAGGTATTTTGAAATATCTTTTTCTCTTTTTAGGTGCAATTGGGTCTGGTACAGGTATCCTACTGGCAGTCACCATTATATACCAATACTTTGAAATCTTCGTTAAAGAACAGAGTGAGATGGGCGGAGTTGGCACTTTACTTTTCTAACGATGGAATATAATAATCTGAAATATTTACCAAAAACTGCACGAGTACTCTATATAAAGAACTGGTTGAAGACGCCACTGGAGCAAGAATTTTGTTACAATGGGATAACACTGTCGAAGAGAAATTTCTGATTTTTGTTTGCAAATCGTGGTATTAGCGTGAAACAAGAGAGAACATTTTTAATTCTTGTAAAGTTGGCGAGATGTTTACTGTATTTTAATCAATTCTGTCTTATGATGAAAATGTATTGTGCGTGGTCTGTCAAAATCAATAAAGTTGTTTTAAAATTTTTACTTTGTTTTACCTGGTCTTCAGAAGTTGCTTCACAATACACCTTTTCGATAATTACGACACAAATCTTTGACCTAGGCCAAGAATTTTGGCTGCTGGGCCCTTCGTTCTCATCAATCGTGAGCGAATAGCCTTTCGTCTGCGCTCATGACAGCGAGGCTTCCAGGCCAAGGAAGTATTCGTGATGTAATTATCATAGAAATATTAGACCTGTCTATTATATATGGTAATTATCAAAGGACTGGAGAGAAGTCGATACAAAAAAATTTTTTGTGGACATTAGATTTTTCATTCTCGCAAATATTTTAGTGTCGGCCCTGTTGCAAACTTATACCACAATTACCACCATTGATTAACCTAAGATTTATATTGAATACTAAGTATTCTTCCCCGATTTCAGACACATTGTCACCTGAATTTTACTGAAACTTATCTGACATTTACCCAATCTCGTTCCCCGAGCCTGCGATCCTCGGGTATATTATCCACAATTATTTTTCACCCTGCTCGGTTTCCTTTGTTCTTATCGGGGAATATATTCAATATTCTCCTCTAATCAATTTCCCTCTAATAATCCCCTCTAATATTCACCTGCAATATCTTTGCAGCACAAAAAATGAGAAAAAACAACATCACGAAGGCAATATGGCATTAAGAATTATTTCTATTCTGACGCGACCTCGCAAAGTGAAAAATAAGTACGTTATTTTGAGGCACCTCGGGGATATCTGTTTATTCACCTCGGTGCTGCGCGCCTCAAAATAACCTATACTTATTGCGGGGGGGCGGCCCTGAATGTGTATTGTTGGTGTATTACAACACCGGACGCAAACAAAAGGACTTTCGTGGCACCCCAGGTCCTGTAAGGAGGGACTGCTCGCAGTGTACAAGTCCTGCGCGCACCTTTGGTGTCCCCAACTGAATTTCGAATACAATTCGAATGTGAACTAAGTGAGCCACAAATGTGAAAGCAGGGCCATTTGTCTCATCGTCCAGCTGTCTGGTGAGGCCTCGATTCCCGCGTGTGCGTCACGCAACCGCTTAGCACATCAAAGCGCCTGGGACGAGGCTGCTGTAGTCTGACTTTTTCTCTATGCTTTTTCTCCTTCAAGACAACATAATGATCATACATGAAGTATATTAATATCATTCTTGCACAGAATCCAGTGACAGAATCACAGAATACAGCCATTTTCGTCCAAGCACAAACCGCAAACATTTTCGCGCGTTTGTTTACGTTTGAAACGTGGCGTTTACCGTTGGAAACGGAATGTTTCACTGCTCATGTGACGTGTTATAGTGAAAAGCCTAATTCAGTTATTTTTCATGTTTTGATGTGCTTTCGTGTACTTTTCAGTATTTCCAAGCTCACGATATTGTATAAGCGACCAAACTTGTTTATATTCATACTTTTTGTGACTAAAATGTATTATCATGGGCTTGGACATATTGAAACGTGCACGGAGGCACATCAAAACATGACAGTTGCGCCAAAAATAGCTTAAGGCTTTTCAATGTGACACCACTGACACGTCACATGAGCGGTGAAACATTTCAGTTTCCAACGGTAAACGCCGGCTATTAGTAAAACACGGAGCACGGAGCACACGGAGCACACGGAGTACGGAGCACACGGAGCACGGAACACACGGAGTACGGAGCACACGGAGCACGGAGCACACGAAGTACGGAGCAGTAGAAAAACGAAAATACTTTATAATAAAATACACTGTTTACTATTACAAATTTTTGTTATTATTAATAAAGAGTTTTCGCGAATTTACACGGTGGGGAAGTAGGAAAATGGGGCTTTTACTGAAAAACACATATGATGCAAAACTGCCAAAAGCCATAGCATTTAAAATGGGATTGTGAAACTCGTTATCTTACATCCATCAAGCTTATGTAGTTATATTATATTCCGACTGGGCAACACATAAAGAAACACTTACTGTAGAGAACAGTCGATATATTTCGTTACCCCTGCCCAAAAATAGCCAAGTACTCATCTTTCAATGTAGCCGGGATCGACTGAACATTAAAGCTTGTCATGGAGAGAAGTGAATTTTCGGTTTATCCTTCGGCCCGGTGGCAGTGAGCTGTACGGCCGGCTAAGTTTAAACCGTTATAATATACAGTACATCATTACTGCTTTCATTCTTTCAATTCGTTTTGAATATTCGGAATCATTCACAATATTATAAAACTGTATAAGATAGCTGTAGAACTATAAATGCTGTAGAATGAAATAAATAAAGAAAAGTAAGGTTTCAAATCGCGGTATTTGCCGATAAATCGGTAATCGCTACAGAAAAACTGAACAAATTAAAGTAAATCACAACAAACTGCAGAAGTGAGACAATTTTTGTATTTTCACTGTATAAGACATAGTAGAACATGTACGAAATCTAAACAGAAGTGTGTGTGTATTCTATACTTTGAAACAACTAAAATTTGACAGTATTAAACTAGCTGCTTAGTTTTGAGAATTTAGATTTTAGGTATTCGTTGTACCCAGTAAATATTTTTGAGTTTTGAATTTTGATTCTCAAGCTGTTTTAATAAATGTGTATAAATCGACACTAACGCCTCAAAGGCGAAAAGGTGGGCAAGATTGTAACAATCGGTTGTAAACATGAGCAGTTTCGAGCATAAACATGATATTGAACGAGTAATTTAACGCATCTGATTGGCTACTAAATTCGGGAAGCCAGTTAAGTGCATGTACGTGTATTTGTTACAATTCCGATCAACTC